CCCTTCTCTCTCTCTTTTCTTTCTCTTTTGATCATACTTTTGCATCCATATATTTTCTATCATATCTATCATATCATTATCTTTCACATGCGCGCATTCTCTACATTCTTGTCTTTCTTTGGCACAAAGTCATCCGGCACTAAGTAGCTTAGCGGTGACCAGCAGTGGATGCCTTCTTCACCGTGGCCATAGTATCGGTATGAAGAAAAACATCGATAGGATGTGCGACAAGCTGCTACTTCCGTAGAAACCACCGACGCCGCTGCTGGCACCGGAACTTTGAGCAGCCTCAGCTAAACCTAGAAGAAAATCATACCTTTTCACTGAAAAAAAATGCGTAATCGATAGCGGAATCGCAATTGCGGAATCGCGATTGCGCTACTGGGAATCAATCGGGCGCTGAATCTTATCGAAACAAACAATAGGATTGATAATGCTTGTGAGTAGTGAATCTGCTATACAGTGTGGGGAAAAAGTACCGGGACACCTAAATATCATAAAAAATATAAGTATTACAGAAAAGTACCGGGGAAAAAGTACCAGGACACCTAAATATCATAAAAAATATAAGTATTACAGAAAAGTGTTTCAGACAAAAGTTGTAGGGTTCCAAAAGATCTATTTACTGATCATATTCGTTTGACCTTGCGCGACGTCTTAAAGGTCAGGTCAAGGTCAGATCAATTTTTTTTAAATGAAACACCTTATTTTTCATTGCATATCCTTATAACACATCTCGAGAGTTTTCCAAAAAACTGTAATAAAATATTTTTTCATGAAATACTTTTGGAGTTATAAGGCTTGAAAGTTATAGTACCGCCACATTAGCATTACGCAAGGTGTCCCGACCGACGACTAAAACCTCTTGAATGTCGTTCAGAATCATTTCCTGGATAACATTTGTTAAGATCAAAGTCACTGAAGATTGTTCCTTTTATTTTTATTTTTGCAATAAAAATTTATTGCAACCGGGATACCTAAATAACTTCTGAACGGTTCGAGATCGAGGATTGAAGTTTATAGGGATGCAAATGACATTATAAAATCTATCGAAAAAAAATCGCAGACACCTGAGACACCACGCGTTGTTCTTGTCTTGGAAGGCCCTTTCAAACGACCTCACGTGTAATTTAAGATTTCTCCGCCCCCTTCCCCACCGACCCCCAGAGGTGTTAAAATGAGCGTTTTTGGTATTAAATGATAGATTTTATGATGCCGTTTGCATTCCTATAAACTTCAATCCTCTATCTCGAACCGTTCAGAAATTATTTAGGTGTCCCGGTTGCAATAAATAAATTTTTAGTGCAAAAATGAAAATAAGAGGGATAATCTCCAATGACCTTAATCTTGACAAATGTTATCCAGGACATGATCTTGAACAGCATTCAAGAGGTTTTAGCCGTCTGTCGGACAATTTACGTAATGCTAATGTCAACTGTATTGTAACTTTCGAGCCTTATAACTCTAAAAGTATTTCATGAAATATTTCAAAAAATATTTTATTATAGTGTTTTGGAAAACTCTTGAGATGTGTTATAAGAATATGCAATGAAAAATAAGGTGTCCCATTTAACCCTTGTCTCTATAATCGGGTACCCGGGTATTTCGGACTTTTCGTCTTAATATCGATGATTTCTACTCAAAATAGCGCCAAATAGCTCCACATTATTTAGACAATTTCACGTAAATTTAACTGGTTGTTTAAGAACTTGTCATGAAAAAATATTGAATTTTCGGTCGTCAAAGTTGACTACACGATTTCAATAACCGGGATACCCATATGAGGTACTCATATATTTTATATTAAAAACCGTGAAAGGGAGAATGTCCTGTAGTATATCCTTTGGATAATAAAATATAATAAATTCATAAATATGCTAGAAATTAAAAAAATACTTTATTTTAAAAAAATTTTCGAATTTTTAATTATTTTCAAAGCAAATCTTACATTTAGTTATAGTTTGACAATGTTCGTCACAAACCGGTTTATTGCAGTCAACACAAGCTTTTCTAGTTTTTCTGAGCTTTCGAATTTCTGCTGCTACATATATAACAGGCACCAATAACTTTTTTTCTTCCTGTCGGGTCCCTTACTGCATTTGTAGAAGTGGAAGGCAAAGCAGTTTCGTCGATAATATTGACAGATTTTTGTAACATGCATTCAATGCCTGATCTTGTGGCGAAATGTCTCATTATTTACATGTTTTGCGATCGATCTTGAATCATTGGGAGACATAATTCTTCTCCCAATTGACGCAAAAATATGCTGCGTACATTATGTTCTTATTTTATCATTTCATTGTTTGCCTTATAAATGAGGTAGGCAGCGAGAGCAGCAATATCCAGTATGTTATAAAACAATGCGAGAGGCCATCTGTTTGTTTTTCTGCGTGTTGAATATTCCCCAAGTAATTTATCAATTACATCTACGCCAGATTTTGTTTTGTTATAAAAAAGTACAATCTCGGGTTTGTTTTTTTCTCCAGAAGTTGCGATGTTGTGATGCATTGTTGATAGTAAAGTAACTGCTTTTTTCTTTTTCGGAACGTAGAAACTAATTGTTACGTTGTTTTGAAATCCGTATATTGTGGAAAGTACTTTACGTGACTTAGATGGTGCCATTTCTCGAGGAATATAAGGTTTATTTTTTTTCAAGGTCCCTGCTATCGTTAAATTCCATGACAGCAGATGTTTTACCAGTAGCAGAGTCGTAAAAAAATTATCCATCGTGATGTTTCGTCCGAATCTTTTGTATAGAGTGACCAATTCTTTCACCACTCTTTCGCCTTGATTTATTTCTCGACGTGTGGATGATTTTCCCATATAAATCTATCCAGTGAGTGGATAATAATTTTCAGCATCGCATATCCACCAAATTTTTATTCCATATTTAGCAGGTTTCGATGGAATGTATTGCGTGAATTTTGTCCGACCGCGATATGGAAATAATTGTTCGTCTACTGTTAAATTTTCAGTTGGATTGTAGTACTTTTGCAAGTTTGAATTGAGCATTGCCCATAAGTCAGGTATGGGTGCTGCTTTATCGATTGCTGACGTTCTTGTCGTGTATTTGCGTCATCAAAACGAATAAATCGCAAGATGTTCCAAAATCGATTTATACCCATGCTTGCACGATATAATGGATATGAAGTTGTCTTCCACATATCTATTGTATTTTGTACATTTGAATGATTTACACCAGATGTTATAAGAAGTCCCAAGAATGCATCAAACTCGCGTTCAGTAATATCAATCTATTTACATTGTTTTTCCGGAGGATGATTGATATTAAATGTCTCATAAACTTTTCTTGCCTTCTTATTCGTGTGTCTTATAACAATGTCAATCATTTCGTTAGACAATATGCATTTGAATGTGTCATAAACAGACATTGTTTCTGTTAATCGGTGTGCACCACTTCTTTGACGAACAATATTGTGACATGGAGTCTGGTGATGAGCAAGTAGTAATTGATTCCACACAGTTTCATCTTTAGTGACGAAAGTGTTCGCGGACGATAATGACTCGACTTGACTTTCGTTATCGCTGTCACTGCTACTTTCTTCTTCTTCCTCCATCTCGCTCTCTCTATTTTCAACTAAAAAAATACATAAATTCTTCATTCACATACAATATCATACGAAAATATTTTATTAGAAATTTAACGCAGAATTCCTAAGCATACCATTGCAATCAACATCTGAAATTTCTTCATCTATTGCTGACTGTTCGATAGTCTTCGGGAACCAATCGTCATCCTCGCTGTCTGAATTAATGATGCTATCTGATAGAGCCTCCATATTTTTTATATACTGTACACTAAATATGAATTATACACGGTACACTAAATATATTGCTGTTGCACAGCTAGAGCACAATTCTTGTAACGTATATAGACGTTCTCGACTCAACGGACGTTTTGAAACTGAGCTATACACGTCCAAACTTGTTTATACGCACAAGAGAAGGGATGAGGAGCTGCAGAGAGAAGAGATAACAGCTGCACACACACTATTGTTCGAAGACGCGGGAAGCTAGACCGAAGTGGATACCCGGGTACCCGGTTATTGAAATTAAGTGCAATTTTTGGTTATAGAGACAAGGGTTAAAAAAATTAATCTGACCTTGACCTGACCTTGAAGACGCCATGCAAGGTCAAACGGATATATCAGTAAATAGATCTTTTGGAACCCTACAACTTTTGTCTGAAACACTTTTCTGTAATATTTATATTTTCTATGATATTCAGGTATCCCGGTACTTTTTCCCCACCTTGTATCTACTTACCACCGATAATGGATACGTGATCCTTCGCTCGAGATCCTCTTTCGAAGCCAATTTTAATTTCTGAAAATGGACATCATGTGAATTTGAAACCTTAAAGTATCTAAAAGGCGTATAACATAACTGGCAGGTATAACTCACCATACAATCTCAAAGTGCCGTCTGCTTTTCCTAGGCTATTTGTTGAAACGCATTTGTAACTACCGACATCTCTATCCGTAAATTTTTTGATTAAGAGCCACATCAGGACCGTGTATCCCGTACGTTCCTCCCGCACGTTGTACTTCGGTCTACGAATCATACAAATGTCATGTTAAGTATTAGAATATTCTAGAATGTAAAAGAAAATGCTGGGCAAAAAATGGAAAAGAAATAAAAGAAAAGAAATAGGATTTCTGGTACCGATGTATGAGTGAGAAGTGAAGCGATACTATAGTAGCGAGAAAAAACTGAAAAAGAGATAATTCGACGATAAAGAAACGTGAGCGTGCATGGAGTAGTGCGAGGCAAGGAGAGTTTCTTTGGAGAAATGGAGTGCAAGAGCACAAAAGAGAAAGTAGAGGAGGGATCCTGGAAAGAAAAGAGGGGTTAAAACCAAAGAACACAGAGAACATAAAGCGTGGAGTAGGAATATATAAAAGTTGCTTTCCAATAAGGACACAGTCAAACACAGTGTAACACAGTGAATCAATACATCCTTGTTGTTTGCTTACGTTAAACAAGGATGAAACAATTCACTGTGTTACATAGTATCTGACTGTGTCCTTACTGGAAAGCACCTAGAGTCTAGGGGTGCGTTCCGAGTTACGCATGAGGCGCATGATGCATCATTTGTCCTTGTTGTTCATCAAATAATAAAGAAGGATAAAACGATACATTATGCGCTTCATACTTTAGTCGGAATGCACTCTAGAGAGACCTTCGGCGGTAGGCCCGCCGGAAGGTGCGCTTCGATCGACGAAGAAGTAGAGACACTCAAGTAATGGCTCCCGCTCACAGAACGCGGCAACGCTTGCTGCATGGCGGAAGTTATCGCACTAACCAATAATTCTATGTTCTTAAGTCGGCCTCACCATACAAAACTTTTAGATATGATGTAATATTACATCCGCCACGCGGCAAAAGTTGGATTGGATTCAACTTTTGTTGCGCGGTGGAAATTATATATCTACTATATATTACTTCCGAACAAGCGAGATTTTGATTGGCTATCGCGCCAACTTTCAAGCAACGCAAGCGTTGCCGCGTTCTGTGTACGGGACCCATAAGAGATACGCGAACTCCGAGCATTTGCAAGAACATGGAGACCTCCATGATTCGTTATGTGTTTGTATGTTTGTAAGTACAAATTACTAAGTTTAGATAATAATGATTCAATATCATTATAAAATGTTATGCCACATAAGTAATATTATAAAATTGATACGATTATTGAAAATATTGTAACGTAGATGTATTCCTAACCTATAATGTACATGACTTTATAACGCATAAATAAATAATTAAAGGGGATACCTTGAAAATAATAATGCCAAGTTGTTGCGTGCCAAATTGTAGACACTCAGGGACTTCTTATGAAATATTGCCCAAAATATCTGGAAAGAAGGGCTTAATAGGCTGTGAATATTCCACGAACGAATTGGATACTCATAGATTATAGCTATATTTATGAGGTACGGTATTTATATTTACATGAATATAGCAAAGTGAATATATTAATATACAGGGTGATTCAGAAAAAAAGTTTGTCCTTAAGTGTTATATTCCTGACTTAATTCTAAAATAATTTTTTCTTTGCGAAAATTTTGTCCGAAGCTTAGTTTTCAAATTACAAGAAGAAATACTTATCACGGGCCGCGTAGAGAAGACGGACAGAAGCGGAACTCACGATCCCACATAGCAATGTATTTCCTTAGGATATTCTAATTTGATCAGATTGATCCCATTCTGATCCAAAACATTAAATCATCCTCAGGATATTTGTAATTATTGTACTAATATACAAGTCATTGTACTAATATAAAACGTCCCTAGGATATCATATTTTGATCCGATAAAATTTTGATCACTTATATTGATAAATTGTATTTTTCAACTTCCGACATATATATGTTATATACATTTATGTATTTTACGTATATTATAGAGACATATCTTTGTAATTAAATTTTTTATTTTTTAACAATGTTTATATAAATATCCCACACAACATACTGAAAACTACTCTTTGTTTCGGGAAAAATTTAATCATATTTATCTTTATATGTTATTGTTAAGGCTATTAATTTGACAGTTGCAGCTATAGCTTATTTCGTTTTTTATTGTACATAATTTATTTTTAAATAGGCATATGAATTATTTATTAATTGACAAAGCGAAAGCAGTTTTTGGTATATTTTACAATATCAGTTTTATCGATTATAAGTACTGTTTTAATAAAATTTTTCCATTTTACTAATAAAACTAATTATGAATAACTCTATTTAAAAAAGTACTTTCAGAGGCTCCATGAGCACACTCTGATCAAGCTAAGAGTAAGTGACGAACTCCATTCGCATATGCCTCTTTATAGAGATCCACGTCATTTTCTCCTTACGGAAACTGAGTCCATCTCGCGGCGATATTGCGTATTATGCCGCTTGCCTGGCAGAGTATATGTACACTATAGGCGTACGTATACTACGGACGCCGCGGCGCCGCCAAGCAAGCGGCGTAGTACGCAGTACCACCGCGAGATGGGCTCGTTTTCCATAAGGAGAAAATGACGCAGATCTCTATAAAGAGGCGTATGCGAATGGAATTCATCACTCTTAACTTGATCAGAGTGTGCTCATGGAGCCTCTGAAAATACTTTTTTTAAATATAGTTATTTATGAATAACTTTATTTAACTAACTATAGTTAGTTTCATGACGCATACTCGTTTCCTGCATTTTGTATCATATCGAGACGCGAGTATACTCTTGTAAAAAAGTACTACTGCGCACTGCGCAGTAGTGCTCAGTAGTATTTTTTTACAAGGGTTTAACATCCTAAAAGACATTTTAGGACGTCCACTGGATAAAGATAGGATGAAATTTGGTTATTCAGAAACATCCTAATGATATCTGAATGATGATGTCCTATGGATGTAGAATAAGCGGACATTCGAACATCCTCAATATGTCCTAAATACCTCCTAAGTTTCTTCAGATACGTACTCAGGATGTTTGAAAATCCCTCGACATACGTCTGTAGCATGTACCTAGGATCAATTTTTGCTATGTGAGGTTAGACGCGAGCGCTTTACGTGCGGGGCGCATACTAATCGAACGCATTCACACGTTTATAAAAACACATTTCTTTTTACTTTTCCCCTCTACTACACTATCTCTTTGTCTTTCGGGTACTTTAAATACGATAATTTCATTAAATTATAAATTAGAATTATGAAATTAAAATGAATATTGAACCCTTTGTGTATCGGATTGTTTTTCAATTACATTGTTAAAATTGTTAGAGAAATGTACTAAAAGAGCGAAATTAGACAATAATTATATATGCAATAAGCACGTAATTGAAACTATTATTGACATACAAATCAAACAATTATTTCAGTACATCGAATTCTAAGAGCGTTTCTTACAATTCGATGTACCGAAAACTTGTTAGACTATTGTACGTCAATAGGCGTTAGAATATTTGTAGCACGCAATTATTGTCCAATTTCTCATTTTTACAAAAATTTCTCTAACAATTTTATCTACGCTATCGCGCTCGTAGCATTTATTACATACTATGAGAAGTCTTATGAGAAATACGATTGCGCTTCTTAGCAGTCAAAGAGTTGTGAATATTTAAAACAAAAACGTAAGCTAAATATACTTTAAAAGCATATTATTACCTTAATTATAAAATTGTTACTACCTTGTAGATGTTTAATGATTCCATTTTGCTCTAGATTCTTGAAACGTTGGAGGAATAAATTTGGATGCACCGTAATAGTGCTCGACACAACGGTTTACTATAAATCACTTTCCAAATATAAAATAGCTTTTTTCACGATGAGATTCTTCTTTTAAATTGTCACATTTCAACATATCGACCCTTCGATTACACTCACTTGATGAAAAAAACGAGGAATTTATTAACTGATTTATTAATTAATCACTGACAATCACAAACGATTGATTATTCGTCGATTGAAAATCACATGAAGGAAGAAACACGTCTGTAAATCTGTATAACAACACAACATGTGTTTACATGCGGCAAACAGCTTCTTCTTCTTGTGTGAATGGCCCCGACTCTAATACAACGTCGATACGGCCGGAATCGAAAATGCCGCTAATGTGGTGAGTAACAAAAGTCTAAAAGAGTAATAGATGAAATAATGTAATGCAAATCACAGTCGAAGCCGGAAACGCTCTTCAAAAAATGATGCAATACCCGAAGCAGGCAAGACACCGGCAAACAGCTGACTGACTTTCTTGGTTATGGTTGCAGTCACTACGCAGTGAGTGCAGTTCATGCATCACTAAAGGCCCGTCTACAATACACGGAGTAAGAAGCATGAGTAAGAAATTGACCAATCACAGTCGATTATTCTTCTCACATTCGACTGTGATTGGTCAATTTCTTACTCTTACTTCTTACTCCGTGTATCGTAGACAACGCCTATGGCGCTGCGTAAACTGCACCCACTGCACCAATAACCAAGAAAGTCAGCTGCTTGCCGCACGTAAACACATGTTGTGTTGTTATACGAATTTACAGACGTGTTTCTTCCTTCGTGTGATTTTCAATCGCAGAATAATCAATTGTTTGTGATTGTCAGTGATTAATTAATAAATCGGTTAATAAATTCTTCGCTTCATCAAGTGAGTGTAATCGAAGTGTCTATATGTTGAACAATATGTGACAATTTATAAAAGAAGAATCTCATCATGAAAACGTGTGATTTATTAATATCTACTTAAAGGCATTTAATAGTTGAGTGAAGAAAGTGATTTACAGTAAACCGTTGGGTCGAGCAATATTACGGTAAATCCAAATTTATTCCTCCAACTGTTTCAAGAATCTAGAGCAAAATGGTATCATTAAACATCTACAAGGTAATAACAATTTTATAATTAAGGTAATAATAAGCTTTAAAAGTGTATTTAGCTTACATTTTTGTTATTTTTGTTTTAAATATTCACAACTCACAACAGCGCGATCGCGTTTCTCATAAGACTTCTCATAACTATGTAATAAACGAGCGCGATAGCGTACATAAAACTGATAGAGAAATTTTTGTAAAAATGAGAAATTGGACAATAATTCCGTGCTACAAGTATTGTAACGCCTATTGACGTACAATAGT